CATGAAACGTGCTCTCATCACTGAAAATTACGGAGTCCAGAAACTTCTCATCGTCTTGTATCCGATGAAACATTTGCATACAGAATTCCTTACGAACCACCTTGTCTGCATCCATAAGGTGTTGAAAGATGGATAGGTTGTACGCTTTTAAGTGTAAACATTTTCGTAACACTCGCCACACAGTAATATTTGAAATACCAGTTTCCTGAGACGGACGTCGCGTTGACTTTCGTGAACTTCGAACGAAGCTCTTCCTAATCTGTTCCAATGTAGTCAGAAACACGCGGCCGAACGGGTGGCTTGGCATGGCGCAAATGTAACCGCACCATGCAGGAACCTCAGCAATGTTGTTGATTTACATTTTTTATTACGATGCACTACATGTAAACGAACTGTACTACTGTTAACAATAGATGATACAGAATTGACCCCAGCACCAGCAGACGCCAAGGACAACATCTGGTCTTTCTGAGGGACAAGCAAGCTGCAGGTCACTTGAAAACCCAGAACGGAGCAGGAAGTATCCCGCTGTGTTTTCTNGGAGTCAGTAGTAACCTCCCGGACGTTAAATCGGTGTTGGCCCGAGTCCGGTGTACAAATTCAAAGTGCTACAGCCGGGTAATAGGTAATTGTAGTGAACATCTACAATAAACGCAACAGTGTTAGTGAAGGGCGTGTTTTCAGTGTTTTCTCTCTCCCTGTGTAAGCAAGGCCCAGAAGTCGCCCTTAGACAGAATCTCGTCCTACCGTCTGAGCAGTCGGAACCCCAAACGTCCGCCTATCCAAATCCCTACCTTGTTTTCCCCGTTCAAAACTCGTGGATGTCACCCAAGTCCACTGGCGCCCATAAAAAATTCAAATTCAGAGCAACCCCACACCCTACCCTGAACCAGACAGCTACAAGGAAGCGGCGGATGAAAGTGCAGACCACAAAGGGGCGGACGTGAAGGATGGTAATAAGTGACGACCAACTCGAGAGGCTTGAAGTCTCACTGAGCGGTAACGACGACAGAAGACGAGGAGGGCGGCAACACACAGAACATCCGATCTGAACAAAATTCTTGTGCCAGGAGTAAATTTTAGGCCTACTGGGAGGTTCCTTGCGATACTGAGTGCGAAATTTCCTTTGAACTTGTGTAGCAGACTTCGTTTCTTCGAACAAAAACACACAACGAGCACGCTCTGCACCTGTGAAAGTAGCCTTCTTGATTTCAACTGCGGGAGCGCTCGCGGTGGCGGTATTGGGTACTACAGTACCATGTGCATGAAACAAGGTGTGTTTTGCTACATTGTGATATTTAAAAACGTTGTGTATGTCCTGTGTATTAATAATAATACCAGGAATAACCAAGGAGTATTGGGGAGTATTTGAGAATGTTTACATGTTTTAATGATAGTGACAGCCACGGGAAATTTGTCGTGTGAAGACCTGGCGTGTGAGTGGAAGACTTGAATTGTGTGTAATACTTGGGAGTGATTGGAAGCGCTAGTTCCTGTGTTCATATCCATTACCTAGAGAGGACTAGTGTGTGTGTGTTACAGTGGATTTTGAAGCATGTAAATCAGCTATAGCGCTGTAATTTCGATTTAATTAAAATTGTGTGTAAACAAACTGTTAATAAATTCTATCATCTGAATAGAACCCGTCATTTCGTCACCCGTAAGCCCCCATACGTGACAGTATGTTATCACTTTTCATAAGTTAAACTTCGCTTGTGAATCCTTCGAACCATGACGGATACCTGACTCACGAAGTAGGTTATTTCTTGAAAAGTATGAGAGCTGATAAACTGAAAGTAAGTAAAAGTAAGTAAAGTAAGGCTATCTCTGTAACAGGCCATGGAGGCCCATAGGGTTGTAAGATGTTGAGGGTCCCACATTGGCTAGACCAGGGGTTGGCGAACTACGGCCCGCGGGCCAACTCCGGTCCGCCGCCGCTTTTTCTGCGGCCC